CCACTCATATGATGAGTATGAGATGAGCAATAAGCTATACTGCCACCATAATTTATTTTATTTTATTTATATATACAAGAGTGGTTACATTCTTGTATAGTCACTAGCATGCATAGCGTTGGCAGGGGCTTAATCGTAATTTGACCCCCCAGAATATGAGTCGTCAAATTGTTTAGCAACCAAGTACCCATTTTACTGTTGGGTGAACAGAGGCTAGTTAAGGATTGGACCCAGTCAACCCTCCCCAGCCAGGATACGAACCCAGGCCAAAGCACTCGTGAACCGCCAGGCGAGTGTCTTACCACTGCGCCACCGGGAGTGTGCACTCAGACGCTACCATCATGCACCTTTCTATGCGCAATTTTAATGGAGTGGGGAAAAAAAAAACGGTCATAAAAAAAGGACCGCATTATTGTAATTTAAAGCCTCAAAATATTTACGTTTTCTATGCATTGGCCTATGTAATTATGTGTTAGTTTCTGTTTACGCAAAACATTTGCATTTTTACCAGAGTGGCGAAATGAGAGAATGGATATAGGACAAGAGAAAATTATGGCCCCTCAACGTCAACACTATTTGAACCAACCTAACCTAACCTAACTCAATCTAACCTATCCTAGCCAAATTAAACAAAAAATAACTTAACCTTACCAAAATAAGAAACAAATGTGTTTTATATATGATATCCTGATGTGTGATGTCAATATGATGTCACAACTTTAATGCCGGGGCAGGCTTTGGAGTGATTATTAAAACACAGGTATCTTCATTAGAACTTTAAATATGTCTATGGTAAAGTGTTTAAAACGAAACTTACATACATCTTTCTTGCAACATAAACTCTTACGTTTATTAACGAATCTGCACAAAATCATTGTTCTGAGATGAGTATTAAGGGTTTCGATCTAGACAAAATGAAAAATGCAACATTTATACAACTACAAAAAAGCTTCAGTTTTACTTCAAATATTGTCCTGGTAGAGGTTTCACATATAGATCCTGTTTCTGTCGTTCTTCTGACAAAGATTTTTTTTTTAGAAAGTTATCAAGATGTTTTCAAGAATATTATTGGGGCGTTTGCCGATTCCAACATGGGTGACCATTTTGGAAATTGAATACATGGGTTGACCCAATTGATACTTGGGTCAGGTTCCATTATGGTTCGGAACACACACACACACACGGACATGCGGGGCACGCCACAGTGTACATACACGGACATGCGGGGCACGCCACAGTGTACATACACGGACATGCGGGGCACGCCACAGTGTACATACACGGACACGCGGGGCACGCCACAGTGTACATACACGGACACGCGGGGCACGCCACAGTGTACATACACGGACACGCGGGGCACGCCACAGTGTACATACACGGACACGCGGGGCACGCCACAGTGTACATACACGGACACGCGGGGCACGCCACAGTGTACATACACGGACACGCGGGGCACGCCACAGTGTACATACACGGACACGCGGGGCACGCCACAGTGTACATACACGGACACGCGGGGCACGCCACAGTGTACATACACGGACATGCGGGGCACGCCACAGTGTACATACACGGACATGCGGGGCACGCCACAGTGTACATACACGGACATGCGGGGCACGCCACAGTGTACATACACGGACATGCGGGGCATGCCACAGTGTACAGACACATATGTGGGGTACACCACAGTGTACATACACAGATGTGAGGTACACCACAATGTACATACACATATGTGAGGTACACCACAGTGTACATACACAGATGTGAGGTACACCACAGTGTACACACACAGATGTGAGGTACACCACAGTGTACATACACAGATGTAAGGTACACCACAGTGTACATACGCACAGAAGGTACACCACAGTGTACATACACACAGAAGGTACACCTTTGTACATACACATACAGAAGGCCTGTGTGTATACACACACAGGCCTAAAGGGGCCTGGTAGCCGAGTGGACAGTGCTCTGGATTCGTAATCCTAGTGACCGGGGATCAATCCCCGGCGATGGCGGAAACAAATGGGCCGAGTTTCTTTCACTCGTAATCACCTAGCAGTAAATAGTTACCTGGAAGTTAAAATAGCTGTTACAGCCTGCTTCCTGAGGGAGGGAGGGAGGGGTGTGTGTGTGTGTAATTACCTAAGTGTAGTTACAGGATGAGAGCTACGCTCGTGGTGTCCCGTCTTCCCAGCATTCTTTGTCATATAACGCTTTGAAACTACTGACGGTCTTGGCCTCCACCACCTTCTCACTTAACTTGTTCCAACCGTCTACCACTCTATTTGCGAAGGTGAATTTTCTTATATTTCTTCGGCATCTGTGTTTAGCTAGTTTAAATCTATGACCTCTTGTTCTTGAAGTTCCAGGTCTCAGGAAGTCTTCCCTATCGATTTTATCAATTCCTGTTACTATTTTGTACGTAGTGATCATATCACCTCTTTTTCTTCTGTCTTCTAGTTTTGGCATATTTAATGCTTCTAACCTCTCCTCGTAGCTCTTGCCCTTCAGTTCTGGGAGCCACTTAGTAGCATGTCTTTGCACCTTTTCCAGTTTGTTGATGTGCTTCTTAAGATATGGGCACCACACAACAGCTGCATATTCTAGCTTTGGCCTAACAAAAGTCATGAACAATTTCTTTAGTATATCGCCATCCATGTATTTAAATGCAATTCTGAAGTTAGAAAGCATTGCATAGGCTCCTTGCACAATATTCTTTATGTGGTCCTCAGGTGATAGTTTTCTATCTAGAACCACTCCTAGATCTCTTTCTTTATCAGAATTCTTTAAAGATTTCTCACATAATATATAGGTTGTGTGGGGTCTATGTTCTCCTATTCCACATTCCATAACATGACATTTATTAACATTAAATTCCATTTGCCAAGTGGTGCTCCATATACTTATTTTGTCCAGGTCTTCTTGAAGGGCATGACAATCATCTAAATTTCTTATCCTTCCTATTATCTTAGCATCATCAGCAAACATGTTCATATAATTCTGTATACCAACTGGTAGATCATTTATGTACACAATAAACATCACTGGTGCAAGAACTGAACCCTGTGGTACTCCACTTGTGACATTTCTCCATTCCGATACATTGCCTCTGATTACTGCCCTCATTTTTCTATCAGTCAGAAAATTTTTCATCCATGATAGAAGCTTACCTGTCACCCCTCCAATATTTTCCAGTTTCCAGAACAACCTCTTATGTGGAACTCTGTCGAAAGCCTTTTTTAGGTCCAGATAGATGCAGTCAACCCAGCCATCTCTTTCCTGTAATATCTCTGTGGCCCGATCATAGAAACTGAGTAAATTCGATACACAGGATCTTCCTGATCGAAAACCATACTGTCTGTCTGATATATCATTTCTCTCTAGGTGTTCTACCCATTTAGTTTTGATTAGTTTTTCCAATACTTTCACTATTACACTTGTCAATGATACAGGTCTATAATTGAGGGTGGTGTGTGTGTGGTGTGTGTGTGGTGTGTGTGTGTGGTGTGTGTGTGTGTGGTGTGTGTGTGTGGTGTGTGTGTGGTGTGTGTGTGGTGTGTGTGTGTGTGTGGTGTGTGTGTGGTGTGGTGTGTGTGTGTGGTGTGTGTGTGTGGTGTGGTGTGTGTGGTGTGGTGTGTGTGTGTGGTGTGTGTGTGTGGTGTGTGTGTGTGGTGTGTGTGTGTGTGTGTGTGTGTGTGTGTGTGTGTGTGTGTGTGTGTGTGTGTGTGTGTGTGTGTGTGTGTGTGTGTGTGTGTGTGTGTGTGTGTGTGTGGTGTGTGTGTGTGTGGTGTGTGTGTGTGTGTGGTGTGTGTGTGTGTGTGTGTGTGTGTGTGTGTGTGGTGTGTGTGTGTGTGTGGTGTGTGTGTGTGTGTGGTGTGTGTGTGTGTGTGTGGTGTGTGTGTGTGTGGTGTGCACGCGCGCATGAAAAATAAAAATTAAGTTGAGCAATTGACCGTCGAGAGGCGGGCCGAAGAGCCAGAGCTAAGCCCCCGCAAGCACAACTAGGAGAATACACAGAAGTGAGGTACACCTCTGGGTACATACACACAAGTGGGGTACACATTATGAATGTTACCAAGTGTAATATGAACATACATCAATTTGCGGTGAATGCAACTAATTATAATTCCTCACGTCGGGGACAGGAAGCCTGCGTATACAATAATATACGCATACTTCTATTGCGAGTGCTGACCAAGGTCAAACTGTTGCCTAACTCCCAGGTACTCCCTTTTACTGCTGGGTGAACAGGTGCATAAGTTGAAAGGAATTGTGTTATATTAAGCCTAGATATGCAAGTTGGCATGTTTCGTTCGCTACCTTATCCTGATCCCTTCCCAGTACTATATAGTCGTAATGGCTTGGCGCTTTCCCCTGAAAATTCCCTCCCTCCCCCTCATTCGCTACAAAACTAATGGTACGAAACGGGTTTAGAGCCCAACAGCACATGTTGGTATGTTTGACCAAATTGTCGCTATAAGCATTGCCATTTTAGAAGGTTGGGTCTGCCCTTTTTGGGTATTGGTACCCATGATTTGGGACAGGAAGTCACTCTAGGCTTATCTAGGTTCCCCTTGACTAACAACTGACCTTTCACAGGGCACAACCTACAATCACCTATGTAAGCCTGGTACCTATATACTGAGAAGTGAATAGGGGCATCAGGGGAAAGGAAGGGAACTATCGGGAGAAAGCGAAAAACCCTTTCGACTATATAGCACTTGGAGGGGGTTAGGATAAGAATTTGGGATGGGGCAGGGGAAAGGAATGGTGCCCACTCACTTGGACGGTCAGGGATTAAACGCCGACCTGCAAGCAAGACCGTCGCTCTATACCGTCCACCTCAAGTGGTTGGGTCAGGGGAAAATGCTTCTATGCTGCTTTGGGAATGATCCCGGAACTTTTCGGTTGTGACCCAACTGAACTTTTCACCGCACAACGGTACCCAATAAACCATAAACGTAAAATATATTTTGACTTACGTGTGACCAGAGTTGTGCTCGTCGGTCTTGGTATCGTTCTGGGCTCCTTAAGACACACGACGTACAGCTGTCATGCCCTAACCATCAAAATCAACATTTCCCAGAGTTCCTCCACCTGAGGGGGTTTAAGGCTGGTGTTGTGATGACGTCGTTGGTCGCTTCAGCCTCTTCTTATAAAGTTCGTTTTCTTTGATTGTCATTTAGGGGGATATTTAGATTTTATATTTAGGTAAAAGTATATACATTGAGTTACATATATAATGTTGGATTTAAAGATAGAGATAGTACATACAATACCTAAAGCAACTAGTACTCATAGGCATAGCAAAAGTCGCCCCTGGTGACCGGGGTCCCCGGCCCGATGGCCGTGACTGAGGCCATCTGCCTCAGGGCCATCTGCCTCAGGGCCATCTGCCTCAGGGCCATCTGCCTCAGTCACCCACTGACACTCACACTTGCCATGATCGCTGGGCACACGAACAATCACAGGCAATCACTAACAACTGGTTAAATAGGCTTACCACATAATTAATCTGATGCGGGGCGCGCTCAGGTCCAAGTCTGACAGTGGCGATCACCTGCCTGTCGCCCACTAATCACTATATCTCGACCTCACGAGACCTTCCCTGGTCTTGACTCGAGCACAAAGTTCTTTACAGGCTTCATACACGAACGCCTCACTGGTATTGCTCCTCTTGACGAAGCACGACACACTTAGTTCCACCTTTATTGCCAGGAGCTCAAAGACAGTGCATCCACCTCTCACAACCTCTGTTGCTCGAGTGGGGTCAAGACCTCTGCGGCGAGCCTCATATATTGTCAACAAAATCTCGACATCTCATGTCAAGTCAATTATCTACATATTTATCCTCTGCCCATGCTTTTAAACCATTCATCAAAATCTGTCAAGCATTTAATATATATATTCACATGTCTATATTTCCTTTGACCTCTCGGTTGGGTCTGGTTTGGTGAATAATTCTCACATGAGGTAGACTTGTTTTTCAGGCTAACTGGGGTCATAACACCACCCACTAAATACAACAAATACAAATATTTATTCAGGTAAATTACATACATACAAGGTGAGATACAAAAGTTGATGGATTTATACATAAGAGCTATAGTACATACAATGTCTAAAGCCACTATTACTCAAAGCGTTTCGGGCAGGAAAAACATTAAAGACTAAAACTTAATACTAATTGACATTAAAGTATAAATTGTGTTGAGAAAAAATAAGAACAAAAATGAAAAAAGGGGGGGGGGGGAACATGGCAGAAAAAACAAAAATACAATTTGGTCAACAAACAGCATTGTTTAAAATCGTAGACATGGGTTGATATTTTGGGGGTGAGGTAAGTTACATTGAGTTAATTAGGTAGTACTTAGTTTTTATCTTAAACTGGTTGGGAGAGGTACAGTCTTTAACATAATTTAGAAGGTCATTCCACATTCGAGGTCCCTTGATTTGTAAAGCATTTCTAGTTTGACTAGGTCGTACTCTTGGAATATCAAATAGGCATTTGTTTCTGGTGTGGTGCTCATGGGATCTGTTACAACCTTCTAGGAAGCTTTTAAGGTCAGGTTTGACATTACAGTTCAGCGTTTTATATATATATATATATATATATATATATATATATATATATATATATATATATATATATATATATATATATATATATATATATATATATATATATATATATATATATATATATATATATATATATATATATATATATACATATACATATACATATATATATATATATATATATATATATATATATATATATATATATATATATATATATATATATATATATATATATATATATATATATATATATATATATATATATATATATATATATATATATATATATATATATATATATATATATATATATGTTGTACCTAGTAGCCAGAACGCACTTTTCAGCCTACTATGCAAGGCCCGATTTGCATAATAAGCCAAGTTTTCCTGAAATAATATATTTTCTATATTTTTTTCTTATGAAATGATAAAGCTACCCATTTCATTATGTATGAGGTAATTTTTTTTTATTGGAGTTAAAATTAACGTAGATATATGACCGAACCTAACCAACCCTAACCTAACATATCTTTATAGGTTAGGTTAGGTTAGGTAGCCGAAAAAGTTAGGTTAGGTTAGGTTAGGTAGGTTAGGTAGTCGAAAAACAATTAATTCATGAAAACTTGGCTTATTAGGCAAATCGGGCCTTGCATAGTAGGCTGAGAAGTGCGTTCTGGCTACTAGGTACGACATATATATATATATATATATATATATATATATATATATATATATATATATATATATATATATATATATATATATATATATATATATATATATATATATATATATATATATATATATATATATATATATATATATATATATATATATATATATATGTCGTACCTAGTAGCCAGAACGCACTTCTCAGCCTACTATGCAAGGCCCGATTTGCCTAATAAGCCAAGTTTTCCTGAATTAATATATTTTCTCAAATTTTTTTTCTTATGAAATAATAAAGTTACCCATTTCATTGTGTATGAGGTCAATTTTTTTTTTATTGGATTTAAAATTAACGTAGATATATGACTGAACCTAACCAACCCTACCTAACCTAACCTAACCTAACCTATCTTTATACAATACAATACAATACAATACAATTTTATTTAGGTAAGGTACATACATACAATAAATATTTACAAGGATTGTTTAACTTATAGGTATAGCTAGTACATACAATGCCTAAAGCCACTATTACGCAAAGCGTTTCGGGCATGATAAACTTAAATGACAAGCTTAATACTAATTGAACATAATGAGTAGAATGAAAACAAGAAATGAAAACATAGATGAAAAAGCAGCACAAATACAATTATGTCGACAAACAGCGCTCTTTAAAGAAAAAAACAGACATTGGTTGACAATAGAAGGGTAAGGTAGGTTACAGGGAATTTATTAGGTATAGCTTCGCTTTTAACTTAAACTGGTTGAGAGAGGTACAGTTTTTAACATGGTTGGGAAGGTCGACTTATAGATTAGGTTAGGTTAGGTAGCCGAAAAAAGTTAGGTTAGGTTAGGTTAGGTAGCCGAAAAAAGTTAGGTTAGGTTAGGTTAGGTAGGTTAGGTAGTCGAAAAAACATTAATTCATGAAAACTTGGCTTATTAGGCAAATATATATATATATATATATATATATATATATATATATATATATATATATATATATATATATATATATATATATATATATATATATAATACACATGACAGGTTGTGCAGGGACTTAATTTCTAACATATTCAGAGATTTGAGTAAGGGTACCGAATGATGTCTGGGGCCAGAGTTGGATATTGTCCTAGTAGCAGCAATGTGTTGAGTAATTAGAGGATGTAAATGATTTTGGGTAGTAGAACCCCAAGCACAAATACTATAGTTGAGATAAGGATAGATGAGAGAGTAATAGTGTCACCAGGGCAGGGCGGGGTACATAATATCTGATCTTAGAAAGAATGCCAACAGTTTTTGAAACTTTTTTAATATATTTAGAATGTGTCCCTGGAAATTCAGCTTGCGGTCAATGAGAACGGCAAGGAATTTGCCATCTACTTTGTTACAAATTTGGGTATTGTTAATCCTGAGGATTAAAATTTAGGTACTGGTGATGTGAGGATTTATTGTCAAACAAAATATAGAAATAGAATTCAATTTCTCCCACCCTACCCATGAACATTGGTGTTCCTCAGGGCAGCATACTTGGCCCTCTCCTCTTTCTTTTATTTTTATTTTATTTTATTTATATATATACAAGAAGGTACATTGGGTTTGTGAGAATACATTGGATAGTACAGTATTTACACTCTTGTAAAGCCACTAGTACGCGCAGCGTTTCGGGCAGGTCCTTAATCTAGCAGATAATTTTAAGTAGGTAATTTCAATCAGAATTGATAAATGATAAAGATACATTACAAGAGAAAAATGAGATGAGAGAGATAAGTAGGTATATTAAAGCACATTGTTATATTAAAGCTCTGATTGATTACATTGACAGCTTGATTAGTAATTTAAACAAAGTTAATAGACACCATACAGCAGATTGACAGCACATATAAGACAGCAATGATCATAATGGTAAAGATGTTCAGATTGGGTACATAAAGATTGGGAGATTGGGTAGCAAAAGATACAGATAAACAAGATTTATAAACACCATACAACAGATTGGCAGCACATATAAGAAAACAGCAATGATCACAATGGTAAAGATGTTCAAATTGGGAACATAAAGGTTGGGAGATTGGGTAGCAATTGATACAGTGCAATTTTAAGGCAAAAAGTGAAAAACTATGAAGATGAAATTAGGTACTTTTTAGTATTGATTTTGAATGATGTAAAAGTTGGACAGCTTTTCAATTCAGTAGGGAGTGAGTTCCATAAACTGGGTCCCTTTATTTGCATAGAGTGTTTACACAGATTAAGTTTAACTCTGGGGATATCAAAGAGATATTTATTTCTGGTGTGGTGATAATGGGTCCTATTACATCTGTCCAAGAAGAGTTTCAGACAAGGATTTGCATTTAAGAACAGGGTTTTGTAAATGTAGTTGACACAAGAGAATTTGTGGAGTGAGATTATGTTTAGCATGTTTAGGGAGTTAAACAAGGGGGCTGTGTGTTGTCTGAAAGCAGAATTTGATATTATTCTGATAGCAGATTTTTGCTGGGTGATGATGGACTTGAGGTGGTTTGCAGTGGTTGAACCCCATGCACAGATACCATAGTTGAGATAGGGATAGATTAGTGCATAATATAGAGAGATGAGAGCAGAGTTAGGAACATAATATCTGATTTTGGAGAGTATACCAACTGTTTTAGAGACTTTCTTAGTTATGTGTTGTATGTGGGTACTGAAGTTGAGTCTCTTGTCTAGGAATATGCCAAGAAACTTTTCATCATTTTTATTGCTAATGTTTACATTGTCAATCTGAAGTTGAATTGCATTTGTAGATTTGCTTCCGAATAGGATGTAGTAGGTCTTTTCTATGTTAAGTGTTAGTTTGTTGGTTGACATCCATAAGTGGACTTTTTTTAGTTCATTATTAACAACACCATTTAG